TTGTCTGAGTAGGTGTGCTTGGCTGCGCCTGACCTCTCCCCATTCCTTCCAGGGGTCGTGATGGGGGAGAGGTCATGCGCCTTTCCAGCATCGCGTGGCTGAGGCACGAAGGAGGGGTTGTGGCTGACCCCAGCCTTGGTGTTTGGCTTGGTTCGCTTGGCTTAGTTGGGCCTCAGTCGTTTGGGCTTTCGCTAGCTAGTGTATTGCGGGCCACGTGGCCTGTGCCTTGAGACACCCCGGGGTTATAACCCCGATAGGCGTGAAGGCCCAATGGCTGATGACCGAGGAAGTCATGCCCCATGAACAGGTGTGGCTTCGCTGCTCTGCTTTGTCCCTTGAGCTTGCTGCGTGTGTCACTCTAAATGGTGCGGTTGTTTCTTTTTCCATTTGTAGGAAATGATGAGGGCTTGAGCGAAGAAGTCCTTGTTTCTACATCTAGCTTTCTAGGCGCAGCCAAATATGTGGTGGATCGCGATCACCTGGCCAAGGCAGAGGCGGAAGTGCAGCGTCTGTGAGAGGAATTGGAGGCCTACAAGAAGATGCAGGTGGAGCTCCATGAGAGCCTGGTCAACGCCATCGGTGGGGTTGACTTGGTCCAGGAGCGGCTCACGGAACAGGGGGCACGAGATCGATCTCGGATCGGTTTGCTAATGGCCCAGGTGGCCGACCTCAAGACGACAATGGCCATTCTAGAGGCAGAGTGCACCATGGCAGACGCTACCCGGAATGAGGCCAAGCAAGGTTGTCAGCGCCTCGAGGCTGAGTGTCAAGGACTTCATTTCACTTGCGCTGGTAAGCTCTTCTTTGCCCACGCTGGGTCTTGATTTACCGGTCGTGTCTAATTGTCATTTGGTTGCTTGTTTCAGGTTTGCGCGCTAAGGCACTTTTGGATCTAGAGGCGAGGGCATCCGCATAGCAGATGGCGTGGGAGGCAGCTACAGAGTTGGCGATGTTGAACAGTTCCGGGTAGGCCCTGTGTGACGCCGTGCTTGGAGCCAATCGGTGGACTTCCCAACTAGCGCTTCATTTTGATGAGGCTTGCCATCAAGTGGACCCCCTCGTCTCCAATGGGTTGCATAGTGGCATGCTTGCGGCTTTGACATCGGTCGACTCCCACTGTGACGGCATAGATTACGATGCTGTGGGATAGGGATACTCATCGAGGAAGTCTGACGCCAAGATCCTTGCCATCGGCAAATCCGCAGCCCGTGGTGCAGGGGCCCTCACGAGCAAGGTGTTGGCCACCATTGTTCATCTCCAGTTTCAGGCTTCCAATGTATAGGAATTTTTTGTGTGATTGGGTAGGGTTTAGTACGCATGTTCCTTATTGTACAGAACACATTTTAATTTTAGCGCACGTGACTGGTCCATTCGTTTGCCATTTTGCTGCCTTTTCACTTTTCTTCTCATTCGAATTGGAATGTGCTTCGTCCCTTCTCATCCCGGCGCTCGTGGGTGCATGTTTTAGCCCAGGGGCCGACCCACGAGGCTAAAAGGTGCATGACCCATCATAGTGGTGAAGCGTTAGGGGTAGGTTGTAGATCCAGCATGATGTGAGAAGGCAGTGAATGGGTGGCGAGAGTTCTCTTTTGTTTCGCCCCTTTCTCCTTGCGAAGGATATGATCAGAAGGAGTTCAAGGGATTGGTCGCTAGGATGGTGACAAACAGTGTTGCCCTGCAGGTCATGTGCGTGCGCCCATGCGTGTAGCCCCGTGAAGGAGTCATGCCCGGCTACGAGCGTGAGTCGGGATGAGTCACTCGGGAGTTAAGTGCTACTAGGGCATGGTGTATGAGCCTCATGTTCGTGTGCTATACGGGATGGCTTTTAAGTTTCTTGGAATTTTGGGTAGGCCTACATGTGTATGTGAACATGTTTGGGTAGAGTGGCTAGAGTTAGAGATGATGTTACTGACCGATGTATTGGACGTTGTTGTGGGACTGGTTATCGTTGTTCGGGGTGCGGCGAGCCCTCGAGCTCTTGCTCATAATGGAGTTGTCGAAGCTCCTAGATCATGAGCTGACATGGATGGCCCATCACCACTTGGAGTAGTCGTGGCAGGCGTGGATTAGCTTCTTAGACTACCTTGGGCCGGTCCCTGCTGGCTTCACGTCCTCGTAGGGCTCGCGAGCCTCCCGAGGATGACTTCTTCGCGTCCAGCTTGCCGTAGTTTCTGGCCGAGAGCGCTCGTGCGCTCTAGAGCCTGAGTCCTCCTAGCATGACAACGTCGTCACCGCCACATCTTTGCCTTTGGGTGTAGTTTCCGCTCTCGACAGGGAGCTATCATGACCTGTCGCTGTGGGAGCTGGCTTTGAGTGCATTGCGGTTCGATCCGCTCGTTGTGGCACGTGTTGTGCTTGAGGGGCCCACTTCTTGGGGTGCACGTGCATCCGACCGACAGCTGACAGTTTGTGGGAACGTGTCTTGTGATTTGCCCATTATGCAAGATCTGATCTAGGCTCCGGGCCTGTCCATGTATGGTGTGGCACCGGCCAACCTCCCGATCACTTGTGATGCAGCTGTGTGGCGGTTATTGATTCTGTTGCTTGTGCATGCCCAGGCTCATTGTGTCTCGCTGATGGCGAAGGCGTCGTCTAGGGCGTGGTTCTACCATCAAGTCTAGTTTTCCCACGGGGCGAGTGTGGGCTGGGCAACAGCCGATGATGGGCGTTGACCCATTGATTTGAGCAATCTCGTGATTCCCTAGAAGAATGCGACTACCATGGGCCATTCCTTGGGCGAGCTTGACATGTGCCACGAGCCTTAGGCTCCCCGAGTGGAAGTCTTGGCCACGACCAGTGATGAGAGGGCGCTAGTCCCCTTATGTAGGTGAACTCTGGGATGCAGCCCCCGCGGGGAGTTCCCAGAGTATGTTCGCCATGGATCACGGGACCCAAACCTCTAGGGCAGAGGTCAACCGTGTGGTTCCCCAAAGGGATGTGGTCGGCTGAGGTCATTCCCCGGGTTAGTTCGTTGCGAGCCGTGGACCTTTGGTTTCCTAGACAGGAGGCTTGGCCATGGCCGGCGATGAGTGAGGGTACTAGCCCCTCGGAATAGGTGAACTCTGGGATGCAGCCCCCGAGGGGAGTTCCAAGAGTGTGCCCGCCATGGGCCGCAGGATCCAAATTTACAGGGTGGAGGTCTGAGCCTAGGCTGTAGGCAGACACGGGCGCTGGCCCTTTGGAGCCGATAGGCTCATAGTTTTTGTGGCGGATGCGGCCGCCTTGGGCCATTCCGCGAGTGAGTCCACCGGCGGTGCGAGGAGCCATCACTTCCTTCAATAATTGAGAGTGCGCAACTGTCCCCTACCTAACGCACCAACTGTTGGTGTTTTGTAAACTGGTCTAGTAAACTTATACAATTGCCATGCTTCTCTAGGAAGACGATGGTAGCATCCAAAAGACATGAGGATTTATACTGGTTTAGGCCGGAGCCCTACGTCCAGTCTCAGAGATGATCGAGTGCGTGTTCCTCACTTGAATGATCTAAAGTTCTTACAATGGGGGTGCAAGAATGGAGGAAAAGGTATAAGAACCTAAGCTAGGCGATGGGCTGCCCAAAGGGAAGCTTCAGGAGCCCTGCTACGATGGAGAACGAGTGAATGAGTAGGGGACTCCAAATGTCTTGAGAAGGGAGCCCTAACTGCCTTTATATAGAGTTTGGTGCTACGGCACATAGAATGGAGGAGGTTCTCCTAACCGAAGGGTCTTGAGCCTGAGGGAGGTCCTAGCTAACTTGGCTTGCAAGCTGTGCCATCTTATGGAGAACGTCCGGGCGTGGTTGTCGTCATCGTCTTGTGGCCACGTCGTGACAGGATGTGCCGTGGTGCTTATTGTGCCGGCCGTGGCGGCACTGTAGGCACGGCGGTGGTTCGCCAGTCATCCTATGCGACATGGTATCCGCCATGGTCCTTGGAGTTGTCTCCTGGTTTCCCAAGGCATGGTACAAGAGTTGGTGGCCGTCCTTAAGTTGTCAATCGCCTGGTCGTCGTTGAGGAGTTGAAGGCCACGATCCCGATCATGGGGGTTGCGGCTTTCGTCAATCTGGGTGGCCTTTAAATCAAGGCCCTTGTCATGGATCCCATCCCATAGTGGCTGGTGGTCATCGTGCCTATCGTCATCGCCTTAGGACGGTGTTGTCTTATCCGATCTTTGTGGTGCAGGGCTGGCGTCTGACCGAACCGAGGTGATTGCAGTCCCCTCGGTCCTTGCAAGGTCAGTGAGGCATGCCTGTCCTTGCCACAAGGCGCCATGCACACTATCATTGATGACTTGAAATTTGTGTTGCTTATTACTTGTATCGATAATTTCATGTCCGTTTTCTTTTACTGTCTCGGGAGGCGTATCACCGATTCAGGACTAAATATTTCAAATGTTGTTATGGACTAGGAAGATGCATGGTATCGGTGTCTTGGATTAGATATCCATCCCCATGCATGGAATGATTCAAATACATGTTGGAAGACAACGTTTCAAGTAGCGTTAGTGTCTTGGATTAGATATCCAACCCATGCATGGGGATACATGCATTTCTATATATGCGCTAGGAGCTAGAGATGCCAAGAAGCATGAATTGCATCCCATGTACATAATGTAACCTTGTGGCTTAAGAAAGGGACGGGTGTCTATTGAACACACATACACTTTGCATGGATGTAGCTAATTTTGGAACACTTATTAGCCGGCCATGAGTCTCTCTTGGACCTATATATATGCCAGTCACCATGCACCGTCCACTATTTATAGCAATACAATGGCCTTTCTTGGTTATTATTGAAAAGACGGTCCATCCAGTAACTCATCAACACACATATATAGGAGCACCACCACCCATCATCGTACTGAACCAACTCGATCTTTTGTTAGCATTAATCCGCGCGCCATGGCCAAGACTACGATCCTCCTCCTGCTTAGTAGTGTCCTTGTTGCAGCGGCGACGCAATTGTCCCCCGCCGCTGAAAAGTACATTGGCGACCTCCACTTAGGCATCCAGAAGGTTCTCGATGCTGTCGTCTCTGCCGCCCCACCGGACAAGCAGTTGGAAACCTTGCATGCCGCTCAGAAGCACCTCAAACCCCTCATTTCCGCTCTCGACAAGGCCAAGGAGTCAGGAGCTAGATGAGAAGAAAATCGCCCGCCTCGTCCTTACCGTGAAGATGGCCACTGACATGATCAACGCTGCGCCGTTGGACAAGAAGCTCAAGGTGATGGAGGACTCCTTCAACTCGGTAGCCGCACCCAGCCCGCTTGATTGCCCCACCGTCGACAAGGCCTACTGCGAGATGCACTCCAAGGTTGAGAAGGCCGTCAATGGAGTCACTGCGGCTGCCCCAGCAGGCAAAATGTCAGAGGCCCAAGCTGCCGTCGTCAAGGAAACATTGTACAACACTGGCGCCACTATCAGCAAGGCGTATGCAGATGGAGATGAGAAAAAGATCGCTCAAGTCCTTGCTGCCTACGGTAAGGCAGCTGATGCAGTCATTGCGGCCGCTCCTGCTGACAAGCTCATCGTCTTGGAGAAGACCTTCGCCACCGCCGCCGCTGGGAATTGAAGCATTCATTGATCGAGTCGTCCATCCATGAGGGCGCTGAGAAGACCACTTCCTCGATATATACATATCTACACGAGGCATTGAGGCAAAACCTCCAAATGTTTATTTTTTTACAGACTTTATAATATTTTCTTTTTACTTTTTGAAGAGCAATTGTTTTTAGAAAATATAAAGAACGTACTTGTCTTCGGCCTCTGCGGTCGCACACAGCCTACTTGGTGGGCGAATGTTGTGGCTTTTAATAATATTAAAATTGATCGTGTGATTGAGCAGCTAGCAGTGAGTCAGTGACCTGTTCAAATGATCCGGACATGCTCTTAGCTTCATTGGGATTATTATTCAAAGAGCTAGCACGAGATGTTGGTGTTGTCCCAGTGATACAAATTTTACACACTTTTGTCGGCAGACCTGGCATACCTAAACAACTCTAGAAAATGGTGTGTAAGAAAAATGCATGGCCCCATTATCGAGGCCAAAGTTTGTTATTTTGGTGATTGAATCCGTACGGACTGAGCGGTTCCACCATAGTGCGTGTATACCTTGTTGATAGTTTGTCTCCACCTGCATCTGACAAACGAACGAGCGGCTTCTACTTACATGCAAAACATAACTGAGAGACCAATGGTGGTCACCCTTGGATGATGAGTGATTGACAACCGTGGTGCATGCCGAACTGATCATGCAGCTGTTGGCTTGTCGATCATGTGCCCGTGTTGGATGCAGCATGGCGGTCGACGACATGCGTGAGGTGAAGGTCAAGCCAAGTATTCATGTCGATGTACCAAGGGCAGTGAAAGATGAACAAAGGAGGCTAGCTTGGGCCGAGGGACCCGAAGAGTTCGTGCGAGGTCATGGGAGATCCACATCGTGCATGTGAAGAGCAAGAGTACGTGCATGGTGGAGGATGGCACGAAAGAATGAGTTTGACCAAGTCAAGGAGAAGTCGGGCTCAAGGAAAAGGGGCGGCCTAGGAGCGGAGCCCAAGTATGTACTTGGAGACGACATGACGAGGCAAGGACACGCGTCGGCATCAGAGACCTTGCGTGGTGGATACATGAAGTGGCTTGGAGGAGCGTGCTGGGGTTTGCCGGGTTTTCCTCAAAACCAGGGGTGCCGTGGATCGGAGGACAGATATGGCACCATCACTAATGTCCTGGACTAAAATGCCGGAAGAGAACTTTGGACCAAAATGCGGTAAGGATCTAGTCCTTAACTAATGTCCACGCAAAAACTTTGCACTTGTTTTCTGCGTGCGCTTTCCAGATTAGATTGGTTTTGAACATGCTGTAAGCACCTTTGAATTGTATTTGATGAGCCGAGCACAAGGAGTAATGTCCATCTGCCGTCCATCTTTAGGTGATAGTGTCTCTCACCTCAGATTCAATATCTTGTCACTATCATTGTCATGAGCCTTTAATATATGACTTGAACTAAATTGATTTGTCTAAGCTTTCAAGTCCGGTTTGAACCAATGACAAGTTTCTTCACACCTCTTACAAGGGTTATCTTGCCAATGTTGTACTTGTCACCATTTGCTTTGTCAACCCCTTTCCGTAAGAAGGATCTCCGAGGGTGAGTTGAGCTCCCACTACTATAGATTTGATATCTTGTCCCGGTTGGGAACTGGTTTTAGTCCCGGTTTCCCAACCGGGACTAGCGATCCGAGACTAAAGTGTTGTTCTTTAGTCCCGGTTTGCCACAACCGGGACTAAAGATCCTCCCAGCTTTAAAAAAAATAATGCCTCCCACCGCTGCGCCTCCTGAGATTCGAACCCAAGACCTCATGCACTGCCTCGCGCGGAGCTTACCACCCCACCTACACAACACATCTAACAATGGATGGGATGCTTTCCTTTTGAACTAACCCATCGGAGGACCTTTAGTCCGGGTTGGTGTTACCAACCGGGACTAAAGGGTCTACCTTTAGTCTGGGTTGGTATTACCAACCGGGACTAAAGGTTGGAGGACTTTTTAGTCCCGGTTGGTGGCTCCAACCGGGAATAAAAGAACATTTAGTCCTGGTTGGTATTACTAACCGGGACTAAAGGTCCTTTAGTCCCGGGGGAAAAAAATGTCGAGGCTAATGCTAAATTGAGACATCGTTCTAAAGTCTGTTCTCTAGTAGTGTCCTGCAACCAATGGCCCGCCAATTTAGTAAACAAATGGTATTTCGGCCCGTCCAACTTGACCATTCCCTCACCAGCCCGAACCATGCATGGCTGGGCCTGGGCTGGACGCTATCCTCAAGATTGGCAACTGATGTGAGCCCATGCATGCATTTGTATAATATATAGTTGTATTGCTTCTTCCTCTAAAATTTGAAATTCATGTGAAGAAAATACATAGTACAATTTAATTAAACATTCTTATATGCCCTCCGTGATACTACTACTTATAGCTAGATAGATGTTTGCTCGTGTTTCATCAACAATAAGAAGAAATTAATTCGTACATATGGAACCAAAAGGAAAAAGGTAAGAGCAAAATGTGTACGTATCACGTACGGAGAGCATATTTACAGCGAGCTACAGGGGATGTGCATGTACTGAAATTGTCAACTGTCTATGATATGGTTATGATTACATCATATATATGTCCTAGGATAGATAGATACGATATGATCCACTGCACACAGCCACACAGGCATGCAGGCCTAGCACAGCAAGATCCATTCAGCACGTTGCAAATGCTACCTTCTTGGTTTTCCCTTTCCTTTGCCTTTAAACATGGCATCTCGTTTCCACTTCCATTTTCCCTTTCCACGCCTCCTTTCCTTGCGGTTGCGAGAAATCTCAACAACATTGACGTGTGCTTCGTGCACAACCGTGAAACTAGTAGGCCGTGCGTAATGATCATTCATGAGAACCTCATTCGCTGCTCGCAATCAATAGCACTATTATCAACCGAGAGTACTTGGAGTACTTTGAGTTCATGCAATCGCCGGGCAGTACTATGTTCTTTGGGATGGAGGGTAGAAAGAGTTTTTCGACCATATCTGCGTCCGCGATCTTCCGCCACATAGACGCAGTCTCGACACAATCCTCTGTAAAGCAGAGTTGTATGCTACCACAGATGTATAGTCTTGGAAGCGTAAGACGATCCAGTCCTATTGTGCTCCGGAGAGTACAAATCGATTTCTCAACACGTTATCAGCACGAGTTCTACCGAGCTAAGAGGAAGAAAGGTGAGAAATCAGTGCCTATCTATCTATTATTCTTGAACAAGCACGTCACCTGTGGATGGCTGAGGCACCACTGCTGAGCATGGCTTCAACGCCAAAGCTCCAGGTTGCTTGAAGCAACCAGACCTTTAACTCTGATATACCAAATGAATGTTCATCGATGTTTCGGCAACACCAGGCAACACGAAGGTGGCACTGACGCCGTTGCCATCCAAATGTCGGAGATGATCTTACCAGCCCCGAAGCGCTAAGCACTGTAAAATGAATAGCCGCCGTCCTGGAGACGAGCGTGCAAATCAGATGGCCGCCGTCCTGAAGACGTGCACGAAAAAACGAGATCGGCAACCGCCACAAGCAGCACCACCGCCACCGCCCCGATAGTCGTGGAACGCAGATTTAGCAAGCTCATTTGGGCCGCCGCCGCAGAAAAGCGGACGAAAGCAGCCTCGATAGGTCGCCGCCGCAGCCACCCAGCCATCAGTGGGTGTGCTAGTGCGGGTGACTTGGTCCTGCCCCGGCCAGTTGCGGATGCCCCAGGGCCGTAGATCTGGCCGCCTCCGCCCAGAAGGCGCAGTGCATGCTATCATTGATGACTTGCTATTTGTGTTGCTTATTACTTGTATTGATAATTTCATGTCCGTTTTCTTTTACTGTCTAGGGAGGCGTATCGTTGGTTCAGGACTGAATCTTTCAAGTGTTGTTGTGGACTAGGAAGATGCATGGTGTGGGTGTTTTGTAAACCGGACTAGTAAACTTATACGATTGCCGCGCTGCTCCAGGAAGACGATGGTAGCATCCAAAAGACATGTGGATTTATACTGGTTCAGGCCAGAGCCCAACGTCCAGTCTCAGAGATGATCGAGTGCGTGTTCCTCGCTTGAATGCTCTGAAGTTCTTACAATGAGGGTGCAAGAATGGTGGAAGAGGTAGAAGAACCTAAGCTCAGCGATGGGCTGCTCGAAGGGATGCTTCAGGAGCCCAGTTGCGATCGAGAATGAGTGAATCAGTAGGGGACTCCAACTGTCTTGAGACGGGAGCCCTAGCGGCCCTTATATAGAGTTCGGAGCCAGGGCACATACAACGCAGGATGTTCTCCCGACCGAAGGGTCATGAACCTGAAGGAGGTCCTAGATAACTTGGCTTGCAAGCTACGCCATCTTGTGGAGCAAGTCCGGGCGTGGTTGTCGTCATCGTCTTGTGGCCACGTCATGACAGGATGTGGCGTGGTGCTTACTGTGCTGGCCGTGGCGGCACTGTAGGCACGGTGGTGGTTCACCTGCCGTCCTGTGCGACGTGGTATCCACCACGGTCCTTGTTGTTGTCTCCTGTTTTCCCGGGGCGTGGTACAAGAGTTGGTGGCCTCCCTTAAGTCGTCGATCGTCTGGTCGTCATTGAGGAGCTGAAGGCCATGATCCCGATCGTGGGGGTAAGGGCTTTCGTCGGTCCGGGTGGCCTTTAAGTCAAGGCCCCCGTCGTGGATCCCATCTCGTAGTGGGTGAGATTGTAGATGCATCTTGTCGGGCCGTATCTGGCTGGTGGTCATCGTGCCTGTCGTCACCGCCTCAGGGCGGTGTTGTCTTTTTCCGATCTCTGTGGCGCAGGGCTGGTGTTTGACTAGACCGAGGTGATTGTTGTCCTCTCGGTCCTTGCAGGGTAAGTGAGGCATGCCTGTCCTTGCCAGAATGGGCATACATGGCGGGACTCAACCTCTCCCCGTCCGTTCCAAGGGTCGTGATGGGGGCGAGGTCGTGCGCTTTTCAAGCACTGTGAGGCTAAGGCAGGAGCAAGAGGTCGTGGTCGACCTCGGCCTCAGCGTTAGGCCTGGTGTGCTCAGCTCAGCTAGGCTTCGGTCGTTCGGGCCTTCGCCAACTGGCGTATTACGGGAAACATGGCCTGCTAACTAATCGGTGCCCTGAGACACCCCGGGGTTATAACCCCGACAGTAGCCCCCGAAGTGATCGTGAAAGCGCCGAGAGGCGTGCGCATTGAGCGTGGATCCGTAACCGTGGCTCATGCGAGCTTTGTCGCTCGACCCTTCGTGGGTTGGCGAAGGCCCGAACGACAACGTTTCAAGTAGCGTTGGTGTCTTGGATTAGATATCCATCCCCATGCATGGGGATACATGCATTTCTATATATGCGCTAGGAGCTAGAGATGCCAAGAAGCATGAATTGCATCCCATGTACATAATGTAACCTTGTGGCTTAAGGAAGGGACGGGTGTCTATTGAACAGACATACACTTTGCATGGATGTAGCTAATTTTGGAACAATTATTAGCCGGCCATGAGTCTCTCTTGGACCTATATATATGCCAGTCACCATGCACCGTCCACTATTTATAGCAATACAATGGCCTTTCTTGGTTATTATTGAAAAGACGGTCCATCCAGTAACTCATTAACACACATATATAGGAGCACCACCACCCATCATCGTACTGAACCAACTCGATCTTTTGTTAGCATTAATCCGCGCGCCATGGCCAAGACTACGATCAACCTCCTGCTTAGTAGTGTCCTTGTTGCAGCGGCGACGCAATTGTCCCCCGCCGCTGAAAAGTACATTGGCGACCTCCACTTAGGCATCCAGAAGGTTCTCGATGCTGTCGTCTCCGCCGCCCCACCGGACAAGCAGTTGGAAACACTACAACAGCACATGGATACAGTAACACCAACTTGTGTTACTGTAGGTTGAAAAAAGTGTTACTAGCTCTCTTAGTAACACATTTTTTTGTGTGTTCCAATTGGCCATGTTACTATAGACTGGTTTATTGTAACACATCTACTTGTCTATAGGAACATTTGTCCAGTGTTACAATGATTTTTGTTGTAACACTTTTTTTTCTCTAGTAACACTTCACATTATGGTGTAATACATAGTTTGTAACACATTTATTTATCTATGGGAACATTTGCCTAGTGTTATAGTGATTGTCTGCTGTAACACTTTTTTTTAGTTCTAGCAACACTTCTACATTATGGTAGAGCACAGTATGGAACAAAGGAACACATGGTTTGTAACACTTGTTTATATCTATTGTAACATATTCAGATTAGGAAACAAATATTTATTTTGCCTATATATGTGGCACACGGATTATTATAGAATCACACAAACATGATACATTGCAAAATCACATAAACCACAAATTTCAATAATCATAACAAGATCCACATATAGTAGGATGATTTCAAACATAGTGTTTGTTCAGATTAAATCATAGTATTTGTACATAACGATATGGCTCTAGAGAGCAAACACACATAGCCCATACTAGAAAGAAAAAATCAAGAACTAGCTAGGATTCATAAAATCTATCGCTCTTCTTCCATTATTCTTTGTACACATCGATGTAGAAATTCAACCATTAATCATTTGAACCTGCAAAGAAAATGCAAGTTGTAAGATTACAAATTAGGCCACATATGTACAATGATGTAAGTTAAGAAAGCTAGTTTGAACATACAGACATCGAAGGCCAAGCAATTGAGACTCCTTTGGCTTGAGCATCACTAATATTGTTGCACCCAGGCCTAGGCCTCACTAATGGCTCATCTTTTGCTATAGCATGATCGATACGCACTTTGTAGAATTGACTTCCTGTCTTAACTCCACCAACAATGGCTTCTGGATCAGTGCTCAAGAGAGTTGCATAGGCCACATTAGCCTTATTAGGATATTTTGAAGTCATTAGTAGCACCATAGACCCAACCTACATTAATTTGACATAATCTCTTAGTGACCAACAACCCTTAGTTGTACATCAAGATCATGCAATTAGAACAAGTGTATTATGTTCATCTACCTTCATTACAGGAAGTTGTTTAGGTGCTTGACGCTTGTTGCATGTAACCTTGTCATGAGCCACCTCCTGGTGTGCAATGGTCGTAGTCTCTCCAGGCCCTCCATGATGACCCTTACACATATAAAATGAAGTATGAAATATTAAGACAAAAATTCCTCTATAAATACTGCAAAGTGTGGTTCATAGATACCTTTTGTTTCTTTGTTGTTTTACTTATGGTGGATAAAAGTAGACTGTCATCATCACTATATTCAGACTCACATGTTTCTTTATTCTAGTAAAGAGAAAAAAGACAGTAGCATGAGTTAATATAAAAAAAACCCTTTATGAATAAAATAGTATTAAATTCACAAGAAAGTGACTTTACCAATTCATCCCTGTGTTCAAGGAATCCATCATTCTGGTTTGGTGCAACACAGTGAACTCTCTAAAAATTTGAAACAATATTAAAGCCAAAAGACTAAATTAGGTGAAAACATGGAAAATAGAGCAAATACCTTTCTTTTAGAAAGCACCGCTTGATTCTGAGAATTGTTATGATCACTCCTAGCACAATTTCCCTTGAAAAGAAATAAAGTTTGAGTAACACATTTCAATACGAAGTTACAAATTAAAATGTACATTGTTACCATTGTTGCTTCTTGGTTCTCATGGTGCCTTTGATTGTTTTTTAGTTCTTCAATAACTTTGTCTTGCATTCTAGAATGCTCTTTGAGTTGCCTTATTTCCTCCAACATGTGAGTCTCTACATCAGATGATGAGCCATCTAGTGAAACTATATTAATGTCCTTAAAATGGTGTGTTCTTCGACCATAAACTTGTTTAGGAACGGGAAGCAATCCCATGCCGTGCACTTGTCCAGCTTTCTCTTCTCCCAACACCCTATGTAATGCATCACCTTCCCATGCAACTCCTCCCTCACAATTTTGTGCTAACTCTGGTTGTGTGTCTAGGAGATTTTTCAGTTCAACCTACAGCAAGAAATCCGCACATTAGAAAACAGAAATAATTTTATATTTGAAAAAATTCTCATGTGCATGTAGCATACCACTGGTTCATTTATCCCTTTTCCCCTTTTCCTATGAGTTGCGAGGTAAACCTTTGCTCTATGTGGCTGTTTTTTTTCAGGATCTGTTTGCCTCTGAAAAAATAGCAGTAAAGGAAAAGTAAGAAGAATCATATATAATTTTTTTTAAATAGAAGATGACTCACCATGTCCTCAGACCAACGAGCATAACTCTTTGTACCGGCTGTGTGTGTTGTCTTCTTCATTTGACAACTTATTTTGTTCTTCTCACTTAGGGTCTACAAGAAAAGTAAATTAATAGACAATGAACCATTATACATATAAAAATCAATAATGGTATAGATAATGATAGTAAAAAAAGCCAAATAGCGTCAATAATGGTGCCTTACTTGTCCTTCGCTGGACTTCCAATATTTTACTAGGGCCTTCCATTGATCTTCATCGATATCATCTGGACAACGCTTGTTCAAAACAGACTTTTTCTTCTTTGGATTAAATAGTGACTTTTTTAATGTTGCCTTGTATTTTCTCCAATCTCTTCCAATTGATTTCAATATCCATTTCTCACATGAATGAGGATATAAGAACTTTGTCTAAAATAAGAAAGTCACTAATGAATGAATTTGACTTCATGACATGATAACAAGCATATATATACTTAATCTTATAAAAACATTATGTCTTGTAAAATTTAGCTAACCTGGATAAATTGAATTATGGTTTTTGCATAGTTTTTCTTAACTTCTCTCCAATCTTTGGCACCAACAGGACAGTAACCACCATTTCTTGCTATGGTGCCTAAAAATTGTCCTAAAAGGCCACCTTCTTTTCCAATGGGTTGTCTAAGCATATTACATCTTACTACTATCCGATCTCCTCCAAGTAGATCCCAAACATGTGTTAAAACGGTCCCCTTTCGTTTACCAGGTACTTCATCGCCATCACCTATTAAAAACAAAATGATAGTGATAGTAATTGGTTAAGATGCAATCCATATGAATGAGATTGATCTAACTACATTTGTACCTGATGTGTTCTGGTTCTCATCATCATGCTGCTCAACCTCGTTAGCATATAGTGCTTCAGTATGCATTACATTTAATCCTTTCTTTTTCTTTGTACCTCCTCTTCCTGCTAAACAAATGTTGGGGACATGAACACGTGCTTATAGTAAATATAATAAACAATATGTAATCGTTTTATTAAACAACTAGATATTTGTATTAGACTATCAAAATTATATTTATTAAGTCACATACCACGGTGGGGTTGGATATGCTAATCTTGGATGAAAATAAATCATTGATAACTAACATGACTTGGAATGGTTGTCCTTGAATAATCAAATATACATAGAAAAGTAAATTATATGTTCATTCTAATACCTTTATTTTTTTTGGGTTTAGATTTGGATGGTTCTTTGTTGGACTTGGTAGGCGCTAAAGTGGCCAGTCTCTGCCTCGTCACAAACAGATTAACCGTCTTTTCGCTCTCACACTCGTTGAGCATTTCCATCACATCAGAATCTTGTTGTATTACAACCAAGCTATCTTTTCTCTTATAGTATAAATAGTCAACTGATGTGTACCCAGAACCCTCGATTAGATCAATCAAGTCGAAAAAGCATATCTCATCTCTATCCATTTCCCTTTGCACATGTTTATGTCCTTCAGCTTTCCCATCGCATTCTAGATTTATGGTCCAATTATCCACCGCCATGGTAGCACAGTCTAAATAAAATATAACACCAATAGGAAAATAAGAATAAAGCTTAGGATAATTCACAAATAAGAATAAGTATAACCGAATAGTAACAATTTGACTAAAGTGTATATTTGTAATGTTATTTGAACTTGGAGCTTGAGAACAAGTAAAGTGCTACGGTTCAGATAGGATGGTCTAGAGCATGACACGTATATACGAACAAAAATAGTCCAAAAGGTTCTTTACATTAAATAAGATATAAAATTAACTTGTATGCATTAACATACAATCAAGCACTAAGTCGTATACACAGACTGAGTAGAAACTGAAACAGAGGTCATAAATAAAATGTGAAAAGTCTGCCCTTTGTTTTGTCCCATTTCAACCATGCACCTTTGCATCAACTTGAACTGATAAAGTCAGCAGCAGGTTAGATCAGATCAAACTGAACCTCTGCGGTTTAACATTGGTTCCCAACTCATAGTTCAGAGTTCGCTTGACCTCTGATGGTGATCCAAATTCAGAGAACAACCATGGTGATCCCAAGTCAGGAACAACGATTCGCGATCCTGATCAGACGATCTGAAGTCAGATTGTCGGGCTCGCATCGGAAGCCTGACAAGTAAGTTTTGTTCATGTATTACATACAAAATCATCATGTACGCATTCACAAGTTCATGTGTACGTTTGTTAGGCTCTTAGAATTACAGAAACAGAGCACCGCAAATTCAGCAGGACCGTGATGACCAAATCAACACTGTGATGACCAAATCAGATCAAGGCATCAAGGCGAGGTTGTTCACGTACCTGCAAGTTGGCCTCAAGGCTGGCGATGGTGGCGGCCGGGACGAGGCCGCCGAGATGCAGCCGTCGTCGATCCTCAGCACCGTGATGAGCTAGCCTCTGCTCCGATGGCGAAGCGCCAAGACCGACAGAAAACGCGGGGCTAGAGACGATGTGGACTAGGCACGCCGTCGATCCTCAGCACCGTGATGAGCTAGCCTCTGCTCCAATGGCGAAGCGCCAAGACCGACAGAAAACGCGGGGCTGGAGACGATGTGGACTAGGCAAGCGAGCCACCGGCGGCGGCCTGGGAGCATCAGGTCAATTTGGGGGAAAAGTGAATCAGTTGGAGCCTTGGAGGGAATAACGGAAGCGGGATTTTTTTTTTTTCACTAGACGATTGATTGTGATAGGTAACTGCAAGCGTTTCTGACTGTGCGTGGTAGATGGATTTTTAGGAGGGAAAAATTGGTGGGAAATACTTTGTTTCTGGAGGGAAGCTAAAATTCTTGTTTTACTAGCTTGTGACACGACTTCTATTAACCCATTTGCGTTGACCAGATTTTGCTTATCCACCTCTTTTCCTATGTCGCTCCTTTTTTTTCAATCATGCACATATATAATTAATATATAATTATTGATTTGCTATTATACTATATAATCTATACGACTAAAAATATACTTTTTTATTGTTTATATGTTTACAGAGTCTATAAATTTTGATATCTCATTATACGACTTGCTATTTTAATCATTAAATGGATACTTATAAACAACAAATTTAAATTGATATTTGAAAGCAAATCTAAATTTGACCATATTTGTATCAATATTGGGGTATATTCGATCCATAGCATATCTAATTAAAAGTATAATTGCAATATAGCATTTCTAAAACTTTTCCATAATGTGTGCACAATCGCAAGATTATGCTCATAGAGTAAGAACTAGGTAAAATTCGAACTAAGAGAGATGCAGGAGCACTTTGGAAATTAAAAAGGCTGAATAGAATAATCCTTCATTCTTTATAATATTATTATAAATTAGCAAAATGTCCATGCATTTCACCTTGCTACACGTGCACTACAACTTTATCGTCCAATTGGAATTTATATATTATAAACTAGCAAATGTGTCCCTGCATTTTTTTAACGTTCTTGGGAATTGATAGAATTTTACTATAACTACTTTTATATCCATTTGTTTAAAAATGAATTAGTTATGATTTTTAGATATCCCATCATATTTTTAGTATTTCTTAAAACATAAATAGGGAACCACATTTACAATCGAGCTTATCGTCCAATTCATACTTTGACCATCAAACTCTAAAACTAGACATTTTAGCCTTGGAACTATCAAAACCAAACAATTTTGACTATCTAGGCAACTTTGTACGTGAGTAGTTTTAAATTTAAAGGTAGTTTTGCATATATATGTATATTTCCAAAAAAACAAAATATGAGATCCTTAACTATAACTACACACTCACTTATGACTATATACATGGATTCCTTTGGTATTAACTTCTTTGACATCTCATGAAACAAATATTTCATCATCAAAACAACGTTGAATAAAAAAAGTTAGGAACTAGAAAGTTGCATAACGTTTTAAGATCTACAACTTTAATTTTGGTTGTTTCTCCATCCGATATTCTTTCCTACTACTGCACACTCACTCGTGACTTTAGAGCATATGGAGTTATGGACTCCTTTGGTATTAACTCTAAAAAATCTTATGATACGTAGTTGGACATATTTTATTCGTGGATATAGGGCCATATTTTCATTCATGTATATAGGGCCCACAATCGATGTCCACGGTGAGGCTCTCCAACTATGCTTTTATTCGTGTATATCCGTTTTTAAGGGACTTGTATATCCGTTTTTAAGGGACTTGTCCCTACATCATCAGGCTGCTCAATGAATTCAGAGATGGACATCATGTTTGGTGCACGACAGGCACGTGTAGCCTGTGCACGTTGGGTTTGGGTCACGATGGGTTAGCTTACTATAGCTTAGTTGGTTGGAGTTTTGTGGTCAGGTCTCACCCTTATCTCAGTTTTTTATAGTTTAAATTATTCGATGTAAAGAAAACAATCCCTCACAGCCCGACCCAGAGTGAGGTGATGGCATTTGTAAGGGGCGATCCTTTTCTCTCGAAGATCTCCTACGTATTTGAAAAAATGTCTACTTAAACATAAATTACATTACATAATTTAAATTTTGTTTTGTTTTTGTGACAAACTAACCGTAATAGAATAGTGTTTTCACATTATTAAAAATTTTCATCATGTTTGATGTACTCACGTGTCACATCTCTTCAACTTTTATGTGGACAGAAGACATAAGTGTGTCATTACACTTTTTCTCAATAATTTAAAATTTTGATCAATATTTCATCAATACAGCAATATTTTTATTAAATAAGAACTTATTTTATTCTAACGTTAATTAATTGCCTTTTCTGTTTAAAGAAGAATACGAGTTATCTTGGTCTTACAATTTTTTAGATTTATAACACGTCTATGTCTTTAGCTCCATATGTGCGACTTTATAAACTTTTTAGAATCTTTTAACAACAATTCTTTCCACTATGCTATTTTAAATCGGAGTTACTTTTGGTCTAAAAATATTGGCGCACAAGTTTCCGCGAACAGCCGGCTGCGAAATTGAAAACACCCTTATCTCTTATAACTGTCGTCTTCCAATCTCATCTACACTCAACCCAATCCTGCAGCAAGGGGAGGACATCCATGACGATACCCTTCTCCTAGCAATCCATCTACTCCAGGCCAGACCCCTGCCCTCAAGTTCGGCGCCCCTCTCCTCCAGGCTGCCCGCCGACCCTCTTGTCCGTACGGTGACGCCGCCGGCCGGCACTTCCACGCCGCCTTCGCTTCAGGCCAAGCAATCCATCTACTCCAGGCCAGACCCCTGCCCTCAAGGTCAGCGCCCCTCTCCTCCAGGCTGCCCGCCGACCCTCTTGTCCGTACGGTGACGCCGCCGGCCGGCACTTCCACACTGCCTTCGCTTCAGGCCAAGCAATCCATCTACTCCAGGTCAGACCCCTGCCCTCAAGTTCGGCGCCCCTCTCCTCCAGGCTGCCCGCCGACCCTCTTGTCCGTACGGTGACGCCGGCGGCCGGCACTTCCACGCCGCCTTCGCTCCAGGCCAGGGTGGCTGCGGGCCGGCCCTGCTACAGGATCCAGCGGGATATGTACTTCTCCCGTTGAAGTTGTTCGCGTTTCACAACCTCGCTTGGCGTTGGCACTCCGACTGGTGACACCAACTCTCCAAGCGGGAGCAACAGAGCAAGGCAGCCGAGCAGGTAGGTAAGTAGTCCGTTGCTGGATAATGGGTCTATTTAGCTCAGGTTGTTCCGTTTGTTTCATCTAATTGGTTGGTCAATTTAGGAATTATTAGGATTGATAATTGGCTATTTTTTTGGTTAATTTAAGAATTAGGAGTGAAATATAAAAGAAGTTAAGTAAAGATGGATCCATAGAAGTTACTGACTTGTTTGAAGTGTCATTATATCAGTAACTCAATTGTCATGCTCATGCCAATGTTTAGATGAGAATAACAGGACATTGCAAACCAATGAATAAATGGAGTAGTCTTGTGCTTTTGTTTAGAAACTAAAAGTATGGAAGACAAGAACTAAATCATGTACGCCTATAGCCCTATACCTGTACTGCTGCTGGTGGTGGTCTGTTGTGGCCTGTGTGCCTGATGGCTGATGCCTTTGTATATCTATGAACTATTGCATAATGCATTATTGCCTGTGGTCTATTGCACTCTTGTGATAATGCTGAAATGTTCCATTGATAAGTGATAACCTGCTGTGATCAGCAGCCAAGAGTCAGGGTGGTGGCGCTCTAGCTCATTGCCGCGTGGTGGGCGGGCGGGGCTTGGCCTGCCCGTTCAAGTTGTTAGCGTTTCACAACCTCGGCGTGGCGTTGGCACTCCGACTGGTGACACAACCTCTGGCGTGGCGTTGGCACTCGACCAAGCAGGACCAACAGAGCAAAAGCAGCGAGTAGGTAGGTAAGTAGTCCGTTCTTTGGATAATGGGTCTATTTAGCTCAGGTTGTTCGTTTGTTTTCATCTAATTGGTTGGTCAATTTAGGAATTATTAGGATTGATAATTGGCTATTTTTTTGGTTAATTTAAAATTAGGGTGAAATATAAAGAAGTTAAGTAAAGAGCGGATCCATAGAAGTTACT